AATTAATAGATATTATTTTGATTTAATTATGATATTTCAATTATAAATAGATATTGATAAAAAAAAATGTTACAAAGAAAAGTAAATGAATATAGTCAATGATATAATTTCAATAATTTACACAAGGAAGACTTGACACTAGTATTTAAGGATTCATTTTTATCGAGTTTTATCTTTTTATTTGAAGCTGCAAACAAATGTTTGGGATTGCTCAAAATTCCTTATGTGATTCTGGCTTATAATAAATTTTAACTAGATGTAATTGGCCCTTTAATTGAAACTCTAGAATTAAAAATTTCTTATATGGTTTGTTCTCTATGACCAATATCTTAAGATGATATTTTTGTGTCACTTGATTATGTGAATTTATTGACTTCCTTCACAAAATAAACATTGATTTTATCATTCTAGAAGATCACTTTGGGAGAAATCTTCTTATATAAAGTCCCTTCTTTAATTATGTTACTCTCTTGAAAATCTCTTTGGGTAGTTTTTATTAATTTCTATGACGTAGATTTCATTAAAGTATCACCTAAACCTATTAAATAGTAATTATATTTACTTTTAGTGTGTCTATGCTTTTTTGGAGAGCCTTGACGAGTTGAAAAATAAATCTTATCCTAATTCTAATTTACATCTTATTGATTGATATTGATAACTTAAATTGATGATTTTCTAGTTTAATTTGAAGACTAATTAGTTTCTTAATTCAATGTTAATGTGGTCCTTGTTCTTTTACTCATTAATAGTTTATTTAAGCCTTACGAATTTTTCATTCAATTTTATATTAATCAATTATAAAATAATAAAAGTTAATAATTATTCTTTATTCAATTATCTAATTGATTTTAGTTTTCATCTCTAATTTTGTATATCAATAGTTCATAATTAATGAAACCATATTTATTAATAAATAATAGATTTAAAAATAAATATAATATTAAAGTTGAATACTTTTATAATAGTAAATGTATTTACAGAATTAACATAATATGATTTAAATATTATAATTTGTTAATTNCTTTAAGATACATATATTTAATGTTTTCTTTATTAATGATTTGCACTAAAATCTCTTAAAATTAAACATTTTATCAAATTAGATATTTAATCAAGTCTCTATTATAAGAATAAGCAAATCTACCATTTAAGATAAGATTAGATGATAATATTAAAGAATATAATGAATCAACTTTCTTAGCAACAAAAAGTTATGATTATTAATTAATAGATATTATTTTGATTTAATTATGATATTTCAATTATAAATAGATATTGATAAAAAAAAATGTTACAAAGAAAAGTAAATGAATATAGTCAATGATATAATTTCAATAATTTACACAAGGAAGACTTGACACTAGTATTTAAGGATTCATTTTTATCGAGTTTTATCTTTTTATTTGAAGCTGCAAACAAATGTTTGGGATTGCTCAAAATTCCTTATGTGATTCTGGCTTATAATAAATTTTAACTAGATGTAATTGGCCCTTTAATTGAAACTCTAGAATTAAAAATTTCTTATATGGTTTGTTCTCTATGACCAATATCTTAAGATGATATTTTTGTGTCACTTGATTATGTGAATTTATTGACTTCCTTCACAAAATAAACATTGATTTTATCATTCTAGAAGATCACTTTGGGAGAAATCTTCTTATATAAAGTCCCTTCTTTAATTATGTTACTCTCTTGAAAATCTCTTTGGGTAGTTTTTATTAATTTCTATGACGTAGATTTCATTAAAGTATCACCTAAACCTATTAAATAGTAATTATATTTACTTTTAGTGTGTCTATGCTTTTTTGGAGAGCCTTGACGAGTTGAAAAATAAATCTTATCCTAATTCTAATTTACATCTTATTGATTGATATTGATAACTTAAATTGATGATTTTCTAGTTTAATTTGAAGACTAATTAGTTTCTTAATTCAATGTTAATGTGGTCCTTGTTCTTTTACTCATTAATAGTTTATTTAAGCCTTACGAATTTTTCATTCAATTTTATATTAATCAATTATAAAATAATAAAAGTTAATAATTATTCTTTATTCAATTATCTAATTGATTTTAGTTTTCATCTCTAATTTTGTATATCAATAGTTCATAATTAATGAAACCATATTTATTAATAAATAATAGATTTAAAAATAAATATAATATTAAAGTTGAATACTTTTATAATAGTAAATGTATTTACAGAATTAACATAATATGATTTAAATATTATAATTTGTTAATTAAGAATTCTATTTTAATTATTAAATATAAGGATATCTATGACATTCTCTAATATTCATTTAATAAGTTAAACTTACAACAAATAAATGAAAGTAATTATATGATTATCTTTAATTGGTTCTTCAATTAATGATTTTATTAAGATTAGGTTATGGACTTTTCTTATAATTTGTATAACTAAAATCATAAAGACGTAGTTATGTAAACAACACAAAAAATATTCAATAATTCTTATTCTTCATTTATTGGCTTTTTCTTATGAGTGTTTTTTGAGAATATTGAATAATTAACAATAGGCATCTCTAATTTAAGTTTCATTTTTTGCCCCAGTGAAGACTATCTTTCCTGAATAGAAAATGAGTGCAGCGAGTTTAGGATTTTACATTTTATATATCAATCCTGGAAATGCTGATCGCTAAGAGAGTTTTATTAGAAATTATACATCATAGCTTATAGATCCTGATAAACTTCTGTCATCATGTATTTTCATCAGATTTACTTCATAAGGCAATTGGCTGTTGGCTACTATGTTACTTGTTTAAATATCGCCTATTTCTATAGTAATCCTGTTGTTCTTCTCTATCTGTTTTCTAAACTTTAAATAAAATGCTTTTTTCAAACTTTTTTAGCAGCCTCTTCTGCCTCATTCTAACCTTTGGTACCTGTTATCACCATCTTACCAGCTTCAAATATCAGGGCAGTTGACTTGGGTTCTTTTATTCTTTGAATCAGAGCAGGAAATCGACCTAAATAATTTAAATATAAAATATCTACTTTTTTTATATTCACAATTTTATGATGTATGAGCTAGATTGTCCAAATCAAGTTTATCGATTTCTTCTCCTGCTTTAGTCTTCATTTTCAATATCACTGTGCTGACCACATTCTAGATCTTTGGTTCATATGATTCTTGTAATTAATTGTTTTTTTTTATTTGCAAGTATTCCTATTAAAATACATAATAAAAAATCACTTTCTCAATTTCTTTCTTCTTTTCCTCGGTATATTCATGAACATCTGTCTTGTTTTTCTTAATGTGTTTTGATTTTTTAGAAGTCTATAAAAAAATAATAAAGTCAAGTGATATTGAGATAATATAATCGTAATTTTAGTATTTAAATAAGGTTAAGTTACCTAATTGTTCTCTGGAGGCATTGAGGAAATAAAAGTTAAAAAAATTAATTTAAATATAAGAAAAAGATTTAAAAACCCCCTCTGGCTTAAGAGTGTCTAAAATTCTGATAAATTCTGTTGATCCATCCTTTCATAGTCATATATAAACACGTCTTGAATGTATTCTCAATTTTACATCAAAGTAATAATATAAATTCATTAATATAGTGTTTTTCTCAACATATATTAATTTATTTTAATTAATAAAAATAATTAAAAAATTAATAACGATGGAAATAGTAACATCCATAAGAATAAAATTTATCTGTTAACTATTATAAAGGATGTTGCAGAAGCTCTGTATTTATAATCAAAATATATTAAATAAATTGAATAAGCAACTTGTAATATATATAACCCTATTTATTGTATTTTATTTGTATGTTTTATTAATATACTATTGTTTTCATGATCAATCAAATAAACCTCCCATATCAACATCTTCTTCTGGTTCTTCAACTTTAGCTGGGGCTTATTGGGCAGCTGGTTTTTATTCAACTTTAGCAGCTACTGGAGCAGCAGCAACTGGTGCATTTGATTATTTAATTTGATCAAAGATGAATCCACTTTATAAACCGATAGCTGCTAAATCTTTAAATGCATTTGCCAACACATATGGAGCTGAGGCTTCATTGATCCAACCTAAATTAATTATTATAATCAATAATACCATTTTACAATGAAATTGCTGAAATATTTTAGACATTTTATTGGAATTTAGTAACAATGTCATTCAAATTCACTGATACTTATTATTTATTTAAAATTGATCCATTATCATAGCATGATAAAACTTCCATACTAACAATAAAATTTGATTTATTACCCATATAAAAATGGTTTCTTTCCTAATTTCTACAATAAAACTGCTTAAGATTAACCAACTTTTTAGCCTGTTTTTAAGACAACAAAATCTTTAGTGATTTAGATTTAACCCTTTTCAATTTTTGTTGGAATTTAAAGTGCATGGAAGAATTAAATTGAAGCTGGGTCCATACCAGTTGGGCCTGGAGGAATAACAACATCAATTGGAGCAACGGCACCAACTCTTGCTGGGGTTTCAACCTTATTTTCTTCAATGATTGGTTTGAGATCAAAGACTGGTGTATCAGTAAAGATAAATCCAACTTTGCCTGCTACTTAGTTTTTCAAGGAATCTAATTCTTTTATTGCATTTCCGAATTTCTTTAATTCATCATAATATTCATGAGTATCTGGTAATTCTTATACTCTTGTAGCCAATACCTTTTTAAAGAGAGTCTACAATATTTAATTGAACATGTATACATTCTTGCCAATAACTAAGAGGGCATTTTTCTTAGCCAATATTCTTCTAATGTCTTACACTTGTTTTGATCCGACATTTGCTAATCCAACGATGATGACTTAAGTATATTTGGACAACAACTCATAAATCTTTCTATAGAAATATATCAATAATTTACTTACTTGAATTGTGCTGGCTTCTTATCCTTTGTTTCCTTTTTGCCCATTTATTATTTATTTAAATTAAAAAAAGATTTCAATTTTTTGAGAAACAATTTAAGTATATATATATAAATTTCATTATTTTTTTATTTTTCTATTCAAGGTACTATCTCAAGCCATTTTATTCGTTTTCCTTCCTTCCATATCCCATGTTTCTAAGTCCCATCTGCAAAAACAAACAATCCTTACCCATGTTATTTCCCCTAACTCCACATTCCATCATATTTCTTACCATCAGCCCAATAATAAATTCCATGTCCATCTTTTTTATCATTCTTATACTCTCCTTTATATTTTCTACCATCTTTCCAAGTGTATATTCCATAGCCATGCATACAATTATTCTACCATTCACCATCATATCCTCTCTCATCAGCCCAACAATAAACACCATGACCATTTATTTTATTATTCTACCATTAACCTTCATAATAAGAGCCATCAGGCCACTCATATCTTCCCCGTCCTTGCTTTTTCCCTCGATAATATTGTCCAATATATTTAGAACCATCAGTCCAAATTTCTCTGCCTAAACCATTTTATAGATCATCTTTCCATTCTCCTTCATATCTTGATCCATTAGAATGTTTATAAATTCCTTTTCCGTTAGCTTTATCTAATTCCCATTCTCCCTCATAAGTATCACCATCAACATGGTAGAATATACCTTTTCCACTAGCTCTATTATTTTTCCATTCTCCTACATATTTAGCTCCGTCTTTCCAAATCTGAGTTCCAATTCCTTCTCTGAAATTTCCCTTCCATTAACCTTCATAAATTGCCCCACTTTTAAATTAATAGGGTCCTCTCAATTCTAAGTTAGTATCATTCTTTAAAGCAGGTAGATTTATAACTTCAAAATTTTCCTACATATAGTTTTTATTTGCACCTTGTATTTCATTTTTCTAAACAATCTTCAATCCATGCTATTTTTTCATTTTTCTAACCTAATAACCTCTGTAAATGCTTTATATTTTGATAGCTGCTTTAACTAAGTTTTCTTTCTCATTACACAATTCATTAAATCTTGCTTATTCTTTTAAATTTGAATTAGTTAAAGAAACTTGATTTTTTATAAGTTTTTTATCCTTTTCTTTACTAAATTAATTTAATTCACCTTTTCCCTTATTACTTTTAATTGAGCCTTTAGATTAATGATTACTATTTCTAATTTCGTTTTGATCTAACTTACACTTAGTTGACATATTACCACTACTATTTCTTTCTCTTATTATTGCAACTTCTCATTATTACATTCACAATAACCGCATTAATTACCCATCTGTTTAGTTGTGAATATTATTAATCAAAAATTACCTATATTTACGGATTATTAATTATCAAGGAATTTGTATAAATTTTTAATATCTGTTTTTGATCCAGGTTAAATAGGGTTACATTTAAATAAAATAGACATAGATAAATATAATAAAATCAAAGCAAAAATTATTATTACTTCATTTAAGAAGGCTGAAATATTTTTGTTGCATGAATTTAAAACTAATCCTAAAGTTTATTTTATTAGACTTTTATATCTAATTAATTAGGAACAGCAGAATCTTGTAAATAAAATGGCAATGGGGTTAATCTTTCATTTGGACTCTCAAATAATGATGATACTGAATCTTTATGAAATTCATTAAAGACTTTGCAAATATACTTTATCACTTCTATTTCTTCTTTATGTTATTCATTGTTTGGTATAATTTACATTACTTTGCAAAGTAATTAATAAGAATTTTATGCCTTAACATTAATTGAAATATCATGATTATTAATTTGCTAAAAAGGATAAATCAATAATTTACATTCATAATTTAAAGAATTCTAAGTTTAAGTTATGTTTGTAAATGGATTTGCTCATTAAATTTCATTTATATTTATTTTTATTAATTCTAGAGATCCTTCAAAGTTTCAGTCAACTACTGATGTTCGGCCTCATAAATCTATGGCTTCAAATTATTATCTTAATTAGTCAATTCTTCCATAACTCTCAATTTATTGTGACTGATAATGTTAATAAGTTAATCTCTAAACTTCATCTATAAATTTACTTGTCACCTTTAATAAAATGGCGATGAGAAAAGACATTAACATTTCTACGAATTTTGGATCTCTTAAATCCATATAAATTCAATTGTCTAATCATACAATAAATTCAAATCTAACCTAATAAAACTAGCAAAGGATTTTTGTTTATAGAAAACCTTCAACACTTATCTCTCTAGTTTTTTTAAGTCACAAACTTAAAATGACTTCCCATCTTCACTCCAACGTAAATAGCGATATTACTCTGACTATAGAAATAATTCTTAGTTATTACATCCAATAATTCAAACAACTTAACTAAAAACTTGGGACTTTTTTTCTACTACATTCAATAATAATTATATAATTTTCTTATGATATACAATACTATTTGTTTTTCTTATAATTATAACCATTCTTTAAGTAATTATATATATCAACAATAAAATCACAATTCAAAACCAAAAAAATTAAAATCCTGCTCAGAATAACCACAAAACCAAACTGGTTCCAAAGTTTCAGGATTAAATTCATCATCTTTATGATTTAAATACTCTCCTATCTTATCAATTACTCCTTTGCCAAATGGAGCTGGAGAATTAACATACTATTACTACTCAATTACTCCATCTTCTTTACATTAAATATTAACATTATCACATTCTTTGGGAAAAACACATTTGATCAAATACTCAAATGAAGAAGCTTAAATAAAATTCTTAAAATACAAGTTTCAGGTTTCATTGCTTTCACTATCATCTTTATACTTTCAATAAAAAAAGTACCTCTTCTTGTTTAAATTTCTTTTATTGTTAGTAATTACTATTAATAAATATCAATAAAAATTACATCTATTATTAATTTACAATGTAAATGACATTACTATTAATGTTAAACAGACTGAATTAGCTTTTATTAAATCTTTATCTATTCTTATTTTAAATCTATAATTGTTTTCTTTAATTCTTCATACTCATTCATAAAGATATCATCCAAAGACTATTTTTCAATATAAATTTATTGTTTTTTTTGTATCTTTCTCATTTGAATTTCCTTTTTAGTAAAATATGGATTTTCATAAGTTAATATACCATCTTAATCTTTACAACTTATAAAACCATAAAGATTTAATTATCTTAATTTTCAATTCTATTTTTACCTTAAAAAACTTGCATAATTTCCATGTTTGAAATGTTTAGGTAATACTTCTAATTATAACTTAGATTTATCAAAAATTTTAATTTTTTATCCATCATTATCCCATTTAATTATTTGATCATATTCGGATTACTACAATATTCTTCAGTATTACTTCTAATATTTCTTTGAAAATTTCAACAAACTTAATAATTTTCTTTTTTTCTTATTTATTTTTCATTTTTATTTTATAATAAAATAAAATAATTTATAATTATAAATTACTTATAATGAACTTGATTAAAAAAGAGATAGAAAGATATTCTGTTATTAAAATAAATAAATATGATACATTGATTTTATTTAATTATTCATATATGAACATCATGTCAATTCAAGACATATGAATATTAAATTATATCAAAAATTTTATTCAAAGAAATGAATATCAATAATTTATATATTTAATAAATCCCCAAGCTTAAAATCCGTTATCATTAATTATTAATTTCATTCCTTTTGTAATATATTCTGGATAATATTTAAATTTTAATCGAATAAAATTAGGCTTTTTTGGTTAGAGTTCTATAAATTCTTAAGGCTTATCATTTTTTTCACTAATAACAAATAAATCTATTTTTTTCGAATCCTCATCTACAAATGTTTCTTTATTTTAACTACTTTTCCTCCTTGGACTTCTATATGATTTATTAAGATTGCTTGAACTACTTGCCTTTTTAATTTATTCACTTTATTTTCTATATGGTAATCTCTATTATTATCTATCTTAATTTTATCTAGATGACTCATCAATAGATTTTGACTATTATTTCCTCAACTTTAAAGATTCAAATTATAATTATTCTTCTCTTATAATTTTACATATTTATCTAATATATTTATTTATTAAATTACCTAGTACATTATGTATTTATAACTGGTTCAAAACTAGCAGCTATTTTTTTTGAATCTTTTTGATCATCAAATAACCAAATTTCTGCTAAAAAATCCCATGCTGCTTATGGATTACTCTTACTATCAATTAGAACCATTCCTCTTCTAACAGGATTTTAATCAGATCCAAATTGTTATGTTAAAGTTCCTTATTTAAAACGAATAGTACAAATTTATCCACATTAAACTGATTTAACCTATTATAAATAAAATTTATATATATTACTTGAACTCTATTACATTAAATTTCCTCTATTTCAATAGGAAAAAATCGGCCATGTTTATCAGGACCCATTTATAATATCTATTTAACTCTAATGACTCCTTTTAAAACAGTACCACCTAAAACTTTTTGATTATTGATTTCAAAAACATTATGAATACAATATTCAGAATCTAAGTTTGAATTATTTGTTAATTCATTTGTTGAAGGTAATAAATTTAAGAATTTGATGAAATAATCTAATGTTCTTTATTTTAAGTTTGAAATTAAAAATATTGGGATTAATGTTTTGCTCAATATTTATTTACTAAACAATACAACATCTTCTTCAGATCTTACGACAATGGGAACACTTTAAATTTATAGACTAGTTATCATATCTTTTAATTATTCTACTTTATCCATATAAAAATATTCATCCATTTTATCAACATGTGTAATTGCAATCATAAAAGGTATTTATTAAATTTGTATTAATTTAAGGAAATCCATTGTTGGTTTTCCTATTGGTTATAAGGATGATATAGTTAATAGAGCATAATCTGGAAATTAAGAATTAATAATTTAAATCATTTAATTATGAGCTCTTTTAGTTCCTCCCATATCGATAAAAGTAATTAATTTAGTTGATAAATCTACTAATTTTTCTACCATACATGTAGAATTAAAATTCAATTAATTTTGATGATTCATAATTTTGCCTTCACTATCAAACCCTATTACTGTATGAGACACTCTTTCAGTTTTACCTGATGTGATTTCAGATCTATTTTTTAAAAACTTCATTCTTGCTAATCCTTAACCATTATCTAATTGTCCTGTACTTAATACTCCCAATAATGAAGTCTTACCTGATCCACTTTCACCTAATAGTAAAATACGAATATCTAAATTAATCCCATCTTTCAATCCTTTTCTAACAATTACTTCACTTGTTTTTCCATTTGTACCTTAATTTATTCCAACAACAATTAATTCAGCTTTTAAAGATTAAGCCATAGAACATAAAGTTCTTAAAGAACCAAGCATATCAGATTTATTTAATCCTAAAGGATTACCACTATCTTCTACTCCAATTTTATAATATGCCATACCATTTCCTTCTGATAATCTATATTATCAAAATAATGTTTACCTATAATTCATCTATGTTGTTAAATGAGTCAATCTCTTGGGATCTGGATCTACTAATCTTAACTTATATTCTGTATGTCCAAAATCACTCTCTTACTTAAAGTAAGATACTTTTGAATTGTTTCCCTAAATTGCGTACTATTATTTAAAATTTAAAATTTTACTTATTCATCTATATATTACTCTAAATCAATTTAAATTTCTTCATTATTAGGTTTTACTAATAGAACAAATTATGGCTTAGTTTCATATTTTAATTGCTATAGAAAAATGACTATTGGAATACTTGAATTTGTGTTTAGTTAGATTCAAAATCTTCATGTTAGACTTAACCTTCCCCCTTAAGTTTTCCTTTATTCTTTTTATTATTGTTCAATATTTGTTTTCTAAGTTTTTGTTTATCAGTGAGTTATGAGAATTAAGGATGAGCTTATTTTAAAGGTTTTTTATTTTCTCTTTTTTATTCTTCATCATCTATTCCTGACCATAAACTATAGATCCCATTAATTTATGTTTATTGTTATTAAAAATCCTATTACATATGTATTACTTTTGCTATAGGATATTTATTTAAAATTTCTTATTGATAAGAATATAATTATTTTTATGCATTTAAAACTAAAAAAACTATTGTAAAATGTGAATCAATAAATAATTAGAATTGAAAACATAGTCTCAACTACTTATTTCTTTTATATATATATGAATAATTATAATATCAAATATTAATGAATTTATAAGGATTAATATTGATGAATATAGAAGTTTATAACTTTATTATTATTACTTTAAATAATATAAATAATTATTTACATTAAATATGTCTTAATAATTTTAGAGTTAATCCATGTCTATTTTAGGCTATGTACCTGCTTTAGTTGTATAACATCTTTTGAATCTAAAAATGAATAAATTAATAAGAAAATTACCAGAAAAATAAAGAATAAAAAGTGTTGTGATGTTTGCAGATATATCTGGATTTACAAGATTAACAGAATTATTAAGTTAATTGGGAACAGAAGGAGCAGAACGAATAGCATTTGCAATTAATCGCTATATGGAATTATTAGTTTAAGGTATAGGAAGAAGTGGTGGTGATATTTTCAAATTTGCTGGAGGTATTAAAGTTTTAAATATTCTTAAGATGCTATGATTGTTATCTGGCCTCCTCCTCCTAATGATCAAAACTTTCAGTAAAATCTAGAAACTTTGCTTAAATAAGCTATTTAGTCTGCATTATTAATTCAAGAAAAATTAACTAAAGCTTAAATAGAATAGGGTATTTAATTAAGTGTAAAGATTGGTTTTGGAGTTGGAGAAATGAATATTATTCATGTTGGTGGTGTTTTTAATAGAATGGAATATTTGGCAACTGGAGATCCTTTAATTTAAGCTTTTCATTCTGAGCATTGTTTAACTGAAGGTGGAAAGATTATCATTTCTTAATAGATTTATGATATGATTAATAATTTCTTTGAATGTTAATAAGTAGCTGATCATGAAGGACACTATGAAGTCATTAAATTATAATAAGCCAAAGTGAAAATGAAGGCTGATGCACTTTTAATCAAAAATAACATTACATTATCATAATTTTAAATGATTAGAAATGAGATTCAATCATATATACCTGCTGCACTTTTACCATATATTGATATAAATGAAGAAGCTTGGAGTGCTGAATTAAGAAGATTATCAATTATGTTTGTTAACTTAAAAATGGATTTGAATTCTGCTAAAAATGCTTAAGGATTAGAATAAATTTAAAGAGTCATTAAAACTGTATAAAAATGTATATATATGCATGAAGGATCATTAAATAAACTTTTAATGGATGATAAGGGTTCAACTTTAATAGTTGTTTTTGGTCTTCCTCCTTTAAGTCATTAAAATGATCCTGTTAGAGCTATTTTAACAGCTTAATTAATGAATAAAGAACTACCAAAAATTAATTGTGGATGTTCTATTGGAATAGTTACAGGCACTGTTTTTGCTGGTGTAGTTGGTACAAGTGGTTCAAGAAGAGAATATTCTGTTCTTGGAGATTCTGTTAATCTTGCAGCTAGATTGATGTAAGCAGCATGTTCAGAAACACATCATAAAATTCTATTATGTTTAGAAACTGCTAAAAGTGCAGGTCATTGTATAAGTACAGCTTTTTTAACATAAACTTAAGTTAAAGGTAAAAATGCACCTGTTCATATTTATGTACCTCTAGATAAACCACTTGAACCTACTCCAGGTAATTTATTACCTAATTTTAAAACTCATAATTATGCTTATGGATTTGCAAAGAAATCAGATTTTATAGCTATTTAATTATTTGGAAGAGAAGAATAACATAAAAAGCTTTTAAATTAAATTGATAAAGTAATTAGAGGAGTTGATAAGAAAAGTTTAATTATTTTAAAAGGAACATATGGATGTGGAAAGAGTAGTTTAGCTAAAAAAGTTTTACATAGAATATAGGAGAAAATAAATTCAAATTAATATAGTCCATGGAAATATGGTGAATATCCTCATATACTTGTTTAATAATTGGATCCTATAACAAGAACATTTAAATTAAATGGATTAAGAAGTATTTTAAAATAAATCTTTCTTTTATATGCAAAAAGAGTTGAGAAACCACCTAATATGGATTTATTCAATATGATGATTGATGTCAATATTCATCCACAAAATTTAGTTTAAATGTTATAAGAAATTGTAGGATTGAATGATAATAGACATTTGGAGAAGTTTCCTCAAAGATAATAAGAAGAAGAGAAAGAAATTGATGTAAAAAGAATTATTTTTCAATTTTTAAGTAATTTTTTTGAATAAATTCCTAATAAATTATCTGAATTATATGAAGGAAGAGCTCCTGATTAAATAGGATGGGATGTTATGAAATCATCTGTTTAAAGATAAATTAATTATTCTATTAAATATACTAATATAATAGCACCAGTTGTTTTATGTTTAGATGATATTTAAAATTATGATTAGATATCTTTTAAAATCTTAAAATAAATGATAAAAACATATGATAGATTAACTATTTTAGCATTGTATAGAGATTCATTTTAAGAGATGATTATATAACCAAAAGTTGCAGAAAAAAGAAAATCTTAAGAAGATATTGCTATTGAAGGTATAACAGCTTTAGAGGATAGAATGGATGGAAATCCATTTATATTAATGTAATTAAGAGGAGTTGAAAGAAAAGGAGGAACTGATGATGAATTTGCTAAAATGATAAGATTTTCATTTAATATCTAAAAGTTTATGCCTGAATAATAAATTTAATAGTGTATTAGTGAAAGTGGAATAAGAAAAAGAATAACTTCTTCAATTCATGATGTAATATTATAAGAGAATTAATCTAAAGAAATAAATAATTAATTTCTATTTTGTGAAAATAAATAGATATTAATTAAAACTGATGTAGAATTACTTTTTATGTAATGGATTTATATGAAAACAAGTGGAAATCCATTAATGGTTTTGAATTTTGTTTAAAATTTAATTGATTTAGATTTAATTAGACTAAGTCCAAAATATGCTACTATAACAAATGAATTAGTTAATTTAATTAATTATGAAGAAAGTATTATTGTAGATGCTCCTTATTGTAGAATTGAAGTAAATGGTCCAATTATAGATAAATTATCATGTTTAGAATAATTATTATTGAAAGCAGCTAGTGTTATTGGAGATATTTTTGATATTCAATTGTTAAATAGAATTAATCCATTTAAAAATGCTGTCAATAATAAATTATAAAAATATTTAGATGAATTAGAAGCTAAAGAAGTTATTGAAGTTATGGAAGTTAGAGAACAAAATATTTTTTATCGTTTTACTTGTCCTTTTATGAGAGATTGTTTATATTAGAGGATTACATTTAAATAAAGAAGACAATTACATAAGGCTGTTGCTGAAGCTATATAATAATTACCTTTACCTTTTGAAACTGAAGAATTAATGGAATGTAAAAAATTATAATTCTAATGGTTGATGGCAGAATCAAATGTTAATTAATAGATCAATTTTGAAAATAATAATGATAATAAATCTAATTCAAAACCTAATTTTTTGATAAACTACATTTATCCTAAATGTACATAAGATACTCAAAAGTTTAAAAATATGTCTAGTAAAGCACTTAAATCAATAATCTTAAAATAAATAGGTAATAAATTTAATAGATCATAAAATCAAACAAATATTATTTTAAGAGAAGGAATTTTAATTAAAAAATCTTAAAATAGAGTTTCATAGGTACCTAGATATGTAATTCTAGATGGAAAAGAACTTAGATTATATTCAAGTAGATAGGATTCACTCAATAGTGAATTACCTTTATGTTCAATTCCATTAAAGAGTATATATTCTGTATTGGCTTTGGAAAATGAAAAGAATTTTACTTTATAAATATGTTCAACATATTGGTATAAGAAGTTGAAAGAAATGGGAGATAGAAAGTTTTTATTTGATGCAAAAGATAATGAAGATTTATAATTATGGACTATTTATTTGGAATTTGCTAAAGCTCTTGCTATTTATGAAGATTTTACAAATAATTATGGTAAAATTTGTTTTCCTTTATCTAATTAATATGAATATTATGATTCATAATTTAAATATGACATAAAAATTGAAGTATTTATAATAATAGTATAATAAGAATAATAAATCCATAAGAGGTATATAAATTGAAAAAACACAAAAAAACAATAAGGAATCAATAATTTATAGAAATAGTAGACGCTCTAATAGACATTCAAAATTTACAGTTTCAAGTAAACAATTTAAGTTTATGGAAAAGAATTAGACTGATGAATTATAAATTTAGAATTCTTAAGTAGTTGATATGCAATTATTAAAAGAGAGAGTAAATCTATTTTTATAAAAAGGGTATATTAAAATATTTTATTTAGAATTTTGTTATTATTTTCTCATATGTTTGAGTAATCAATACAAAAGGCAGATGATTTTAAAATATTAGGAAATACTAGTATTGCAATGAGAAAATTAAATAATATATTTAAAATAGATAAAACATTGATAAATGAATAAAATAAAAAATCTAGTGCATTTTTACAATAATAATAAATAATTATTGAGGATAAATAAGAAATAAAATAGTAAGATAATTTAGAAACAAAATAATAAGATAATTGGGAATTAGTAATTTAGAAAGTTGAAATGGATAATGATTTGACAAATAATCAAATATAAAATTGTATATTAGAGGAGAAAATAGAAAAAACAGATATGATTTTTGATCTTGATAGAAAGAACTCTTAAGAATAATTGTAGGATTATGATAATAATAATTAGACACCTAAAATATATTAATAAATTAAAATAAATATAGAAGAAGAAGATAATGATAATTTGTAATTGGATGGTATTTATATTATAATTATTAATATAGAGAGTGCTTTAAGAAAATAATAACATTTAAGAATTTAAAGATTATAAAATTTTAAATGTTCTTTTGGTAATGATTCATTTTAAAAAATGCACTCAGAAAGTATATTACGATCTTCACCTTTGATGAAATAGGAGGATACTTTAACTGAAGTATTGGCCACACAATCTTAAACTGAAAATTCAAAAAGAGAATCTACTGATATATATTAATCATCATAACAACCTCCTTAAATGTTAACTAAAATATCAGAAAAAGAATCAATAACAGATGCTTCTTGTTAAGTAAGTAGACATTTATCTACTTGTTAAGTGGATAAAATAAATCCAGTAAGTAATAATTAAAGATCTAGATAAACAAGTAATATCAATAATTAATAAAATAAATCCCCTGTTCATACTTAAAATTCATATACACCAACAAATAAATCATAAAAAAATGCGTAATTTAATCTATTCGATGACTGCAAAACTAAAGTAAAAAGAGATTCATAAATATCCTCTTAAATGAATTCTGCTCGAAATAAGCCAGCTCATTTATAAACTAATTATATCAATTCTCAGAAAATACTATCCAAAGAAATCAAATAAAACCCATTTATTTATGGAACAGCTATTAATATTTGTAAACCAATAACAGGTGATAATTTTATTCTAAAACCTGGCTACAAAGTGATAGTCTAAAAGATTGATAAGAAGACTTAATTGATAGAATGTATCTATGAGAATTTAGTTGGAATTTTTAGATTGAGAGATATTGCCGTCATTGAAGGTATTTAGAATTAATATATACAATAAAGATCCTGCTATTGAACAAAAAATAGAAATTACTTAAAAATAAACATAATATTCAAGTAAAAGTCCATTAAAAAAATAACCACTTACTACCAGACCTAAAATGCTCTTAACTCCAACTAAATAAAATTGAATTCATTTTTCTTATAATTAATATATATATATTTAAATATGAATACTTTTATAGTCATTCTTATATCAATTAGACTAGTAAGAGAGATTAAAACCTTTAACAAAGTAATTTGTTTAATTTTATTAATTAAATATTATGTTGTATATGGAATAATTCATTTTATGAGGAAAATAATATAAATTAATAATTAATTAGACTTAATTACATCATTGATCATAAATAATTATGTAATTAATAAATAATTAAAAAATTTAATATATATTTTTAATGACGTGATCGTTAATCAATATTGATCTCATTAATTCATTCAAATGCAGAAAAAGTTTACAGAATTCAATTAATTAAATGTAAAAAGGATTATTAACACTCTTAGCTATAACATTATTAGCTGGTACATCATTGTTAAACACAACAATAAATAATGAATCAAATTCATTCTTAGAAGATGAAGTAATGAAAGTCTATCAAAATTGGTAAAAAGAACATGGAAAAAGATATACATAATTTGAAAATTCACATAGATTTGGAATATTTAAGAAAAATTATGAATATATTTAAGAACATCAAAAAAGAGTTGATGCTGGTTTAGAAACTTTTGAAATTGGATTGAATAACTTTGCTGATCTCTCAGTTGAAGAATTCGAAGCTAAATATTTAAAATACAAATCCACTCCAAGAGAATAAACTAAATAAGTCTATAAAAAATAAGGAAAATAAGTTCCAGTTGAAGTAGACTTGAGAAAAGATGGAGTAGTAAGTGATGTTAAAAATTAAGGAAGTTGCGGATCATGCTGGGCATTCTCTGCAGTTGCTGCTTTAGAAACAGCTTTAAGATAAGCAGGAGTTAAAAATGTTGAATTATCTGAATAAGAATTGGTTGATTGTGCAGTTAAAGATGAATTCGAAAGTGAAGGATGTGATGGTGGTGAAATGTATGATGGTTTTGCTTATGCCTCTAAATATGGTATTGCCATTAGATCAGAATATCCATATGCTGGAGTTGATTAATAATGTGCAGCCAAAAAGACCAAAACCAGATATTAATTTGCTGGTTTTGTTGATGTTGAATCACTTAACCCTTAAGCCTATGTTGAAGCTGCTGCTGAACATGCTCTCTCTATTGGTATCAATGCTTCAGGAATCAACTTCTAACTCTACAAGAAAGGTATCTACAATGCCAAATGTGATGGAAGTAAACCAGCTCTTAATCACGGAGTAACCAATGTTGGATATGCTCCAGATTACTATTTAATCAAAAATTCATGGGGAATCTCATGGGGAGAATCTGGTTACATTAGATTCGCCAGAATTTAAGATAAATAAGGATAATGTGGTGCTTAATAAGAAGTTAACTACCCTTTATATACAAAGTTTGAAAACCAATCAGCTATTTTTGAGTGATTTTCTTATTTTTATTAAAAATTAGTATAGTTTTATAATTCAAATCATTCTTAATTTAAAGTATTACATTATTATATTAAATAATTTGAAAGAATATTATTATTTGATTACCATTTTATTTAATTGACCAAATTTTTTAAATTAATGATTAGATATAATTAAATTATGATAATCAGGAAATCATAAATAGGTTTTTAATTAATTTAACATATTCATAAAAGGTCTAGTTTATTTAAATATATATTCTTATAAAAATATTCAAGCAGATAATAACTCTTCAATTTAATGTTCATGTTTTAATTATAAATTTTGAATATTCTTTTAGGCTTGTTTTCTTTCAATTACAAATATCTTTTCTAATCTCATTTACTCTTGGTAATTTTCTATTGAAAACATTGTTCTCTCTCTTTCTTCTTCTAATTGTTATTCTTATTCAATTAACTAATTAATTAACTTGGTCCAGTACTTCAATCATTTCTTAATATTATTTTTCTTCAAGTTCTTATAGATCTAGCCTTTTTTAGGGATTTTTCAAAATTTCAATCATTTTTGTTTCTTCATTTTACAATTTCTTATTGACAGTAGATTAAACTCTTGGAATATCATAAGAGAATTTTGTTAAGGCAGTAGAAGCTTGAGTATTATAAATTCTTACGTCTATAATCAGTGTCTTAACTCTATTAATTTTAATTATGTAATATTTTTAGACTTTCATTCCACTTTAATTTTTCATCAAAACAAGATTATAAATATTATTTCTCCATAAGTTGTTTTTATTATAATTTTTCAAGTGCTAATTTTTTATTTTTCAATTTTTAATTTCCTTATAATTTAATTTGCTCTAATAATTATTTTTTATATAATTATTTTTCTTTAATCATAAAATCCTTTAAGATGAGTTTTTAATTTAATTCAACTCTTTAATCTTTATTTATAATATTCAATTCTTCTAGTTTTTATTTAATCTACTTTTCTTCAATTTCTTATTGTTCTAATTTTTATTAATGTTCAATAATTTTTTATTCTTAAATTTATTTAATTCTCTCATTTTTCTATTTTTATTTGGAAATATTAATTTCTTATTTTATTTCTTATTACATCTTACATTTTTCAGTTTATTTTAACATCTTTTCTTTTTAGATTTAAACTTTCTTTTATATATCCATAATTTTTTCATGTTATTATTACTCAAATTATTTTCTCTAATGTTCACTTTGAATTTATTTATTTTAAAATTCTTCTTGCATTTTAATCAATTTATTTTGTTATTATTATTTTACTTAAAGCAATTTTTAAGCTAATTCTTCTTATGCTAATTTAGATGCATATACTCTTTCCTATTATTACTAAAATAGTTTTTATTATCTTTATTTTTCTTTAAATTATAAAAGTTCCTTTTTATATTATAATTCAATTTCACGTTATAATTCCTTATTTTATAATTATTATCTGAATTATTATTGTTTTAACTTTTTTTATTCTTCTTTCTTTCTATTCTCTTCTTATAATTTTTAATGTCTTTTAATTTCTTATTAAGCTCTTTCTTATTCTTTTTAATATTATTCTAATGCAATTTATTTTTATTTTTATTCTTCTTATTATTCCTTTAATTTTTTTTCTTAATCTCTTCTCAATTTATCTTATTCTTATTTAATTTTATTTAATTATAATTATTCTTATCTCTATTATTCTTTTTACTATTTTTTTAATTATTTTCTTAAACTCTTTTCATTTATCTCTTATTACAATTTTTAGAAATATTACATTTATTATATTTCTTTATTAGTTCTTTCTTAAATTTTTTGAATTTCTTATTAATCAAATACATTTTAAAGTTAAAAAGTATTATTATCATTTTATAAATTGTTTTAATGTTCATCTTAATCTTAGATTATAATTTATTTTCTTTCCTCTATACATAATTATAATGTTTCTTATCTTCTTTTTTCATGATGTCTCCATAATATCTTCCAACCTTATTTGTTCAATCTTAAATCAGGATTTCTCTGCTTTAATTCCTTTATACTTATTTTAATTAATTGTTCAGTTAACACTCCACATCTTTAACATGCTTTTAGTGATCGTGGACTTTGACTATATAAGGTATATACCTATTCAAAATTGGTTATTTATAAGATGTTTGATTGAAGTTTTCTAAAGTTAACATAAATAATATTGATAAGTTAAAATAACAAAATTTTAAGAACATAGATTTAAATGATAATTTATGCACTTCGATTAAATTTATATTCATGCAAGATATCTCAATCCAAGCGTTCTAATTCTTAAAGTTCCCAATCTTCAAAATTTCCATTTGGTAAATACCTTCTAATTATAAATGGTATTTTATTCTCATTTAATTCTTATTAAGCTACCTAAATAGGATCAGTTGTTTCCTCTATAATAAAATTATATCATTAAATACTTGGATCAACATATATAGGACTATTCTTACTAATTTATAAAGCCCTTGTTCCAATAACTCTAGCACGCTCATATTTAGTTAAAAATGGAGGAGTAATTCTTTCATTTTTCATTACTTTTCTTCCTTTACTCTATTAAATCATAGCTCCAGTTCTTATTATTTAATTCTCCTCTTCATCATCACTAGAATCAGAAGTCACAGATTTCTAACCTATTTGTGAGTATAAATTAATTACAATACCTTAAGATTCAGAGGTAGCATCTTCTTCATCTTAGTCTTCTATTGGATCACCATAGGAAGAACGACTTTTTGAAACTCCATCCAATTCTGAATCATCGATTTCTGGTTCACTATCCTAATTACTCATTAATAAAAATATATAATGGTAAAATTTGAAGAATTTTAGAAATTAACTCCAAAAGAAAAGAAGAAAGCAATGGCAGAATTACATGATTTACGTGGAGCTACTTATTAAATTTATAAAGAGAAGCCAATCCATCACATTCAAAAAAAAGTGAATCCAAAACATAACTTTGGAATATATTCAGTCCCAAAATATTTTATTTGATTTAATATATGGACCATTTCTAAAGATTCATTAATCCCCATGTTTTTTTAGGATGTGTGCAATTCTTACAATTACAAACATCTAAAGAAACAGAGGCTCTTCTTGGCACAAGACTTTTCTAAAGGTTAATAAAATTAGGTGTGCCTTAAGAAAAAATTGATTAAATCATCCAATAAGACAATTTAAATGGTAAATTAACTTCAGTTGCAGAATTACTTAAGCTTCGATAAAGAGCATTAGTAGATTATATTTAAGAAAATTTATGGACAGTTGAAGAAGCTTATTAAGCATTAATAATATTATTTGATTAAGGAGAATATGAAAAAGCAACTGAAATTGTTGATAATCTATATCCATGTGTTGAAGCAACTGAGAAATTAAATCATTTGAGAAATGGATTCTTATGGGCTAGATTAGTAAAAAAATGCATATATTTATTTAGAATTGTAAATTAATTGGACTCTTTAAAAATACAAATAATGCTGCAGTATGCATAGAAGCAATTAAAGACTTACTTAAATAAGAAGATTAAATAAAATATAATTTCAAATAAAGAGCAGATCTTTTACATGCAGGAGTTTTGGTTTGTTTTATATCTGATGATAC